AAACTAATCTAAAAGATATCATGATTTTTTTAACAATTGATATTAAAATCATACATTAAATGTTTCATATGTGTGGGAACCGAAATTCGCACTATCGATTTCCGTTGAATTAGGAATGTAGGAAAACCTAATTTTCCAGAGGTCGCGGATCTCTGTGAGAACCAACGACAAGTGACTAAATAGATGCAGAAAATATAGAAAGATAAAAAATGAATTTAAAGAAGACAGTACATCTTATTTCGAATCAGCGTAAGAGCGTTACGATAATTACAAAATATTATAAAATCTTAGGCCACAAGAGCTGTCAGCAAGTTATCTAGTTCTAGCAACCAAAAACCCTAAACCTAATTGTGTCACAGCTCGATTAAAAAAGACGAAAATGATACGAAAAATGTTTTGACTGATTTCGGACTGAAATTTATGAAAGGCTGCCAACGTACCCCTTTCAAGGATCAAGCCGAACGTAACTCAATTAAAAGAGCTGAACAAGAGATCAAACCGCCTGTGCGAGTTCAGCTAGTAATCGAGTGCCAACCATAGAAACAAAACTTGTCGATTAAAGGCCTAAAGTTTCTAAGTGCAGAGAGATATAAAGTCTAAAAAGTTCTCTCTTTGTGCCTTTCTCCTAGGACTCGTTATATACTCCCTCCAAGGTCAGTTTATGTTTTCCCCTTCTACCCTTAAGCTGTCATAGATCAAAATAAGAGATATTACATGTTTTCCAATCTTCATGATTATCTTTGGAAACTTGACATTTATCGGCAGAATTTTGACATTTATCTTTTCATGTGGACTAAGTGTAAACCGCGATAATATTTATGGGCTCTTTCTTAAAAATCGTAAGTGGGGTTCTAGTCGCGTTTTAGACCTTTTTGGGCAGTCTTTCGGCTCAAAACGTTTATTACGGTTTTTTCGATAAATACAAGCTTTCCGCAGTTTTTATCGTAAATTCTGAAAGATAACTCCGATCGATAAGGAGTGAGAGGTGGTTCATCTGTGGCCTGCGGAAGATAGTATTGAAGAGTAGACAAGCATGCACGGATTCATGTCGTACTGATTTTTATTCGTTTGATTGATGTTTGGGACAGTCCGGTCCTTGCCTATCAACCTGGCCCGGGATCGTACTGGTTGTGACGTAGCAACCTGGACCGTTATGAGACAGATCGCTACATAGCGACCTGGTCTGTACTTAAATCGGTCGCCATGTAGCTACCTGATATGGTGCAAGACCGGTCATTACATAGCGACCTGGTCCGTGCGTGGACCGGTCGCTATGAAGCGACCTGGTCCGACTCGGGACCGGTCGCTACATAGCGACCTGGTCTGTGCGTAGACCGGTCGCATGTAGCGACCTGGTCTGTGCGTGGACCGGTCGCTATGTAGCGACCTGGTCCAGTTTGGGACCGGTTGCTACATAGCGACCTGGTCCGTGTGTGGACCGGTCGCTATGTAGTAACCTGTTTTAGTTCGGGACCGGTCGCTACATAGTGACCTGGTCTGTGCGGGGACCGGTCGCTATGTAGCGAACTGGTCTGGCTCGGGACTGGTCACTATGTAACGACCTGGTCTATAGATGGTTTGGTCGCTATGCATTGACCGGTTTGGGTACTTTTCCAATGTTCTCAGACAATCGGTGTTTACCTTTGGTGGCTCGATCGAGGATTTTTATGAATTTGATCGGAAAATGTTTTTGCAAATGTTTCTTTGTGACAATTACTTTTCCGAGAAATGTTCATACTTATCTTTAAGGATTTTTAGTCCTCGATTCCGTTGTGACCGATTTTGACCCAAACAGTTAGCCCCCCCCCCAGATTTTTAGAACCGTGAGCTTTTAGCGTGAGGTTCTAGCGAATAATTAGGTAATTTTAGGCAAGTTAGGCGGAATTAATGGTTGGGGCCGCGCCTGGTGAGGGCTGCTTACGTACCCTTTTGAATGGATCAACCTTCGTAGTTCGTCTTGGAGATAAAAGACTTACGACCTTGTTTTCCGATGAAACCTTTACAGTTTTTTTTATGTGTTGCGAAGAGATTATTGAGCATGTTTCTGTTGATGGCATTTTGTATTAGATATTTGTCAGCCTCTAGATTAGCCTCGTAGGCAGTCTACTTTGTCCAAGTATGATGGTATTTATAGTTTTTGGACTAGCCGTGTGTGGGTTTTAGTCCTTGCCGCTATGAAGCTACTTTAAATTATGTTTCGCGTTTTAATAGCATGTTTGTATTCGTATGAATGTAGGGAAGAATATGAGTTGTCATCTCTTAGTCTAACTCTGGGTTAACTGCTATATTCGTGGTCTGTTTCAAGAGTTTTCCGCATCGCGTAAACCTGCGGGATTTTTATAGATGTTTGAATATTAGCCAAGAGACAAATTTTGGGATCTCGTATCAAGGTGTTTGATACTATGCCTAGAGATGTTAAAGACCAGTGTGCTGGGTTTAGGGTAAGACCTAGGTCTAATCACAGTTTTAGGGTGGCACGATGACTACTTCGACTTAAGTTTCCCGTATCTCTTTCGACCTGATTTTGTCCCGCTTTAAAGTCTGCAATATGTTCTCGGCTTATACGACTTGTATGGTAGGAATCGAGCATCTCTTCATAGACAATTTCTAAGCCAACCGCAAGTGCTTACCAAAATTTTGGATTTCTTTTATAGCGCTATTACCCTTGTGTCGAGTGTACGAGATCTATCTTTATGAGATGGCTGAGAGGACGTTGCGAGTTTGTTGTGATCACCAAAAAACTTATTGATAGATGTTATCGTTTTTGAATCTTCGCGAAGAATAGGTGTTTTTAAGAAGTTTAGTGCGTTTTATAGTCACGGACGGTTGTTTTATCTTCCAAGAAGGTAGTTTTAGTGAGGAAGGTAGATTTGTCAAAAGAACGGTTCTTTAGGCGTCTGCGACGTCTCGCAATGTGAAGATTGGGTTTTTTTCATATGCCTCATTCTTGCTTGAAATATTTGACAGCTGGAAGATGTTTTGGTTTGTTTGCGATAATATATGAGCAGCAGAAATATCATTTCACAGCCAAAATTTTTTTTCTGTATGGATGTTAAATTATTTTATTTGCGATCGAGGAATTAGGACCAAGGGGTCGCATAAATTTGTCCCTGGGAAGAAGCATTATCCTTCACAGTGCTTTGTGAAATGTTGGCCTTCTGAGATCTATTTTGTGAATTTTTAAGGATAACATGTACAGTTCTAGGAGCTTTGTTACGAGTGTTTTCTTACATGCCGCGTTTTATGAGTAAACCGTGAAGATCATCGCAGGAATCAATCTTACCGAACTCAGTCATGGTTGAGGCTTCTATACACTACACGAAAACATAAATTAATTGTGATTAGTTATGAATTAAGGAAACTAAAGTGAAAAACACATACAAAAATTCGGATATTTAGTTTATGCAATTATTGTTTTTTACAGAGTTTTCATATCATACCAAGAGTTAGAAACATAATAAAATTGGTGGAAAAATCAGAAATCAAAAAAAAAATTAAAAGGACATAAAATTTGCAGAATTGATTAAAAACCCAAATTCTGGAATCGAAAGAAAAGATCACATTATTTTCCACGTAACCCGAACCCTTTTTTACTCAATTGTATCATGTTTTCGTTATATTTATCAGGAATTTTTTTATAAGAAAGTAGACGTTATTGGTTATAGATTACTGCAATTTTGCAACGTTCTCAACAATATTGATATGACGCCAACCATTTTTATTGGTATCTTTAAAATATATTCCAATAATTATGCATGAAAAATAAGCCAATAATATTTATTTTATTTTGCTTTATATTAGTAGAAAAATTAAGTCTGGGTTAAATATCTTGATCCGAAGAACCGAACTTGATTTGAAAGTAATACTAAACACAAACTAAAACTGATTAAACGCTTAAATGGATCTAAAGTTTAATCCACCCGGAATCCGATCCAAACTAAAATATTTAGATACCAAAAATATGAAAATCAAAATTCTATTCTTAAATAGATTAGTTATTTAAATTTTATATCTATTAAATATTCAAAAGTATTAATATATCTAAAATTTATCAAAATAGTCACAAGTAAATATCTAAAAATAAAAAAAAATGTTCAAAATCCTGAAAATGTTCTCCATCTAGTGTTTAAATTAAACTAATTATATGTAAATTAATATACTTAGTCTTACATTATTCAATTTTTATGTTTAGATTTAAATTTTCTGCTCTAAAAATCTGAAATCCGAATATATCAACAGAATTTGAACGGTTATCTAAAGGTCTGTCCCTAGAAAAAAACTAGCTGACAAATCATTTAGTATAATGTAAAATAAATAATGTAATCAACTATTTCACTCCACATACATCGCAAGTTACTACCTAGTCTTAGAGTATTTTGGGTGTTTATTCAGGATTGAGTTTTGAGGTTTTTTTTTTTATTTTCTGGGTTTGGTTCGGATAAAACCTATAACTTGAAATAATGTAAAACAAGACACATTCAGTATTCATTAGGGGTAGCCACATTTTTATCAAATTGGTCGGATTTTGGATTCTATTTATTTGCAGATCCATAAGTTGACTGAATAATATATATTTTCTATTTATTTCGGATTTTTTTGGATTCTATTTATTTGCAGAATATATATATATATATATATATATATATATATATATATATATATATATATAGTGTGTGTGTGTGTGTGTGTGTGTGTATATATATGTATATATATGAATATATTTTTTGGTAAGAAGATAATATGACAAATTAATAAATATTTGTACTATACAATCATATGGTACATAACTTGCAATATATCTTAAATATTGATATCTTCATTAACTTGGTCTAAGTTCCATTATTAAGATGTTCTCTTTTTGTTGGAATTGGATTACAAACTTCAGTATTAGCAATATGTTAATAAGTTAATCCTAATCAGTAATCACCATATTAAGAACTCAACAAGGATATCCAATAATTTTCTATCATATAAAAGGCCACAAAACTCAACTAAGTAGCTCATCTGAAGCTGGGAAACTGCAGTTTAAAATTTCGAGCGACTGGAGTACAGTGACCTCCGATAGTCTCATCCATTTTGACCTCCCCTCCATTGGTTCCCCAGTCAAATCCCTGCACCATCGTTCCAATTGCAGATCCTACAAAAATAGTAGCTAGATTTTCTCCAGAACAGCCTCTTCTTCCACTCCCGAAAGGAATGTACTTAAGTAATTCCCCCTTTATCTCTTCTTCTTTACTTGATCTTAAAGAAGCTAGAAACCTCTCTGACTTAAATTCTTTAGGATCTTCCCATGAATCAGGATCTCTCATCACAGCGTACGCATTAATAACAAGTTTTGTCTTCTCTTGTATGTAGAACCCTTTGATCTCACACCTTTCTTGGAACTTCCTTATATATAGAGGCGATGGTGGGTGCAATCTTAATGCTTCCTTTACCACAGCTTGCAAGTATGGAAGGTTGGGTAAATCAGTTTCTTGAATCAACCTTGTTAATCCAACGACCAAACCAATTTCTTCTCTCAATCTTTCAAGAACATTAGGATTCTTAATGATTTTTGCCATTGTCCACTGTATTGTATGCGCTGAGGTTTCTGTTCCTGCAAGGAAAGCTCCTGGCAGTTTACAAACATTTATTAATCAACAATTGCAATTCTTATTTTAAATAATATTCACATGTAATATAATGGAGAATAAAACGTACCACAAAAAGAGATTTTATATGACTCGTACTGATCTTATATTCAGCACTAGCTTTCATAGACATTCTCACAATCTGTGTACTATGTGTAAGATTGAATACTTGAATGGCTACCTTTATTGACAACAAGAGTTCTCTTATATAGAGATACATGACTCAAAGGATATGCATGATACTTTATTGTAGATAACAATGAAATATATACGAAGTTAATCTACTAAACAACGAGATAAGAGTTATCTCTTAATATTGTACTTATCCTAATATCCCCCCCCCCCCTCAAGACGGTGCACGAGTAGTGATACCGATCTTGCTAAAAAGCATTCAAACAGATGTCGTGTAAGCAGTTTGGTGAGTCCCTCAGCTAACTGATCCTTGGAAGAGACATGAGACACACACAGAGTACGATTTTGAACTTGCTCACGTATGAAATGTTAGTCCAGTGCTCAAGTGTTTCATTCTTGAGTGAAAAACTGAATTGGCACTTAGGTAAGTAGCACCAATATTGTCACAGTAAATGGTGGGAAGGTTGTCAAGCTTGATACCAACTTCACGAAGTAGAGAATAGAGCCACCGTACTTTAGATGCGGCAGCCGATACAGCACGGTATTCTGCCTCCGTGGAAGACCTAGCAACTCCTGTTTGCTTTTTGGCTGACCATGAAATAGGATGTTGACCAAGAAACAGAAGATAGGCACTTATAGATGTGTAGTCATCCTTATTGCCAGCCCACTCCTCATCAGAATAGGCATGTAGAGATAGATCACTGTAACGAGATAAGAAAATGCCCGACGTGTATGTTCCAGCAAGGTACCTGAGGACTCGTTTTGCGGCAAGCCAATGTGTTGTTGAAGGTTTGTGCATAAACTGAGAAAGTCTATTTACAGCAAAAGCTATGTCTGGTCTTGTCAAGTGTAAATATTGTAGACTTCCCAAAACTTTGCGATACTCTGAAGGATCATCAAGTGGTTCACCATCCCAAAGAGAGAGAGATGTAGACACACACATTGGTGTAGGAACCGGCTTCACATTGGTCATATTCATACAGTACAGGAGATCACCAATGTATTTTCGTTGAGAAAAGTGAAATCCTTGCTGTGTGCAAAGAACTTCAATGCCAAGAAAATAAGATAAGTCCCCAAGATCTTTGAGTGAAAATGTTCTAGACAGATTAGCAATAAGGTCTGCAATTTCTGATTCAGAGTTACCAGTAAGACTTATATCATCCACATTGATCAACAATGAAGTAGAAAAGAGAGGCATCAGCTACTGAATTTCGAAAAACAAGACCAAGTAGATAAGTATTCAATTCATTGTACCAAGCTCGAGGAGCTTGTTTGAATCCATATAACGCCTTGTTGAGTTTTGCAGACATGGTTGGGTTTGTCACGATCGACAAAACCACTAGGTTGCTTCATATAGACAGTGTCGGTGAGAGAGTCCTGTAAGAAAGCATTATTGATGTCAAGTTGCTTCACCGGCAAGTTATATTTGCAGCTTGACCAAGAAGAAGAAAAATTGTAGGAGACTTAATCACATGACTGAAAGTCTCATGATAATTAATTCCTGGTTGTTGATGATTGCCCTACTAAGAGTGACCTGAGTTTGTCCACTGTTCCATCAGGATTAAACTTTGTTCTGAAAAGCCACATATTGCCAATGACGTTTGTTGCTTCTTCTGGTGGAACTAAGTCCCACGTATGATTGATGCGTCAAAATCTGCACTTGCTTATTTACGCCATTTTTCATCAGACAATGCTTGATGTATTGTGTGAGGCTCAATGTTGTGTGCCAGTGTTGCACTGAGACAGTAGCGAGGATTCGGTTTGACAATCTGATTCTGTGATCTGGTCACCATACGATGTTCAGTTCTAGTTGTTGTAGTATAGGAGGAGGCTTTTCTGGTAGAGGTAGAATAGAGTCCTCTGGTGTTGAAGTTGAGTCCTCTGATAGTGAAGGATCGACAGGTGGAGACAACGGTACTGAGTTAGTTGACATAGATTGTGAGCCGCGAGCAGGGATGACTGGTTCTACTGACGGCGTCCACGGTACCTCTTGACTATCCGATTGAGAAAGATAAGAAGTTGTTAAAGATGCAAAAGGAAATTGTTTTTCGACTAAGTGAACATGACGTGAAACAAAAGAGGAAGGATCAAAACATAAAAATGCACTTTGAGTCAGTGAACAGCCAAAGAAGACACTAGGAGTTGATCTGGTTTCAAGCTTATTAACCGTATAGGGTTGCAGCTACAGATAACATAGACATCCAAAGACTCTAAGTTTTGAGTAGTTTGGTGAGGTTCCAAATAGGCATAGGTATGGTGAGTCCATGGAGAGTGTCTTTGTTGGCATGTGATTAATTAAGTAGGCTGCTGCAGCAAAGCCATGTGGGTGTTGAAATCCACTCACTGTCAAATAAATCGTAAAAAAGGAAACTTCGGGAAAACCCTAAGTTTCCAGAGGAACCGGCTATCTGCGAGAACCGCACAACGAAAAATAAGAAAACGATAACTTAGAATTTGAATGAAAATAAACGAAATAGAGAGCAAAGAGGTTCTTATTCTGAATCTGCGTAGAACTGGAACAAAAGAGTAGCCGAAAAGCTTAAGAACGAAAACCCTAATTGAGACGCAGCTCGCTAACAGAAAAACGGAAATATTCCTAAATGCTAGTTTTGGTGGTGAGAGCTCTGAATTTCGTCTCTCTTGCTTCTGCCCTAGACCTCCTATTTATATACTCCTCACCTTGGCTATCCGATCTTTCCATTTCGCCCATATTTGACTACATCGGGAATTTTCCATTCTTCTCGATCCTTCCTTTTCTTCCGCGGAAATCTTCTATTTCTCTTCAAACCTTCCTTTTATCTTTAAACTTGACTTTTATTTTCCTTCTGCGAGTAAACCGTCAAAACGTTATCAAATCTGCGGGTTAGATTCCGTTGAAATCGCGAGATGGGTTTTTATCGCGTTATAGGTCCTTCCGGGCCGTTTTTTCGATAAAAACCGTTTTCCGACTTTTTACGGGACCGTTTCCTGATTTGACGTCGTTTTTAATAAATTTCTCGAGTTAATCGCAAGGTTTTACCATTTACTCAACTTCTTATTGAAAACACGTTTTTTACGACTTACTCGGCATTTTTTATTAAAAGCGCGTTTTTATGATTTCAACGAGAAATCTCGAATAAATCGTATAGTTTAGGCAACTTTCGGTGTTTCGTTTAACCGTTGCCGTTTTATACGATTTCCTCGAGTTCTTTCCGAGAAAACGAAGTTTTACGGTTTTTATCGTAAAACTCGAATGGTAAGTCGGATCGAGATGGAACGGGAGATATTCCGACCGTGGTTTAGAACGCGACCTTGTCGAAAGACGTAAGTTTCAAATCGGGAATGCGGGAAATCGAGACGCGGAGTGTCCGGGAAGTCTCTAGTTCGCCCATCGGCAAACTAAGCCGGTCCGGCTTAGTTCGCCGATGGGCGAACTAGTCGGGCATGTCCTAGTTCGCCCATCGGCGAACTAGTTGATCACTACCTAGTTCGCCCATCGGCGAAATTAGCCGGGCCGACTTAGTTCGCCGATGGGCGAACTAGAGAGTGCCTCTTAGTTCGCCCATCGGCGAACTAGGCCGGGCCGGCTTAGTTCGCCGATGGGCGAACTAGAAGAGTACTTCTTAGTTCGCCCATCGGCGAACTAAGCCGGGCCGGCTTAGTTCGCCGATGGGCGAACTAGTTGCGACTAGTTCGCGTTTTACGGATTTTTCGGTTTTTTTGCGGTTTCGTAAAACGATTCTCGAGTTTTATAAAACGATCTTCGGATTTCATAAAACGACCTTCGAGTTTTATAAAACGATCTTCTCGAGTTTTATAAAACGATCTTCGAGTTTTATAAAACGATCTTCGAGTTTTATAAAACGATTCTCGAGTTTTATAAAACGATTTCTCGAGTTTTATAAAACGATCTTCGAGTTTTATAAAACAATCTTCGAGTTTTATAAAACGATTCTCGAGTTTTATAAAATGATTTCTCGAGTTTTATAAAACGATCTTCGAGTTTTGTAAAACGATCTTCGAGTTTTATAAAACGATTCTCGAGTTTTATAAAACGATTTCTCGAGTTTTATAAAACGATCTTCGAGTTTTATAAAACGATCTTCGAGTTTTATAAAACGATTCTCGAGTTTTATAAAACGAATTCTCGAGTTTTATAAAACGATCTTCGAGTTTTATAAAACGATCTTTGAGTTTTATAAAACGATTCTCGAGTTTTATAAAACGATCCTCGAGTTTTATAAAACGATCCTTAAGTTTTATAAAACGATCTTCGAGTTTTATAAAACGATTCTCGATTTTTATAAAACGATTTCTCGAGTTTTATAAAATGATCTTCGAGTTTTATAAAACGATCTTTGAGTTTTATAAAACGATTCTCGAGTTTTATAAAACGATCCTTAAGTTTTATAAAACGATCTTCGAGTTTTATAAAACGATTCTCGAGTTTTATAAAATGATTTCTCGAGTTTTATAAAACGATCTTCGAGTTTTATAAAACGATCTTCGAGTTTTATAAAACGATCTCGAGTTTTATAAAACGATCTTCGAGTTTTATAAAACGATCTTTGAGTTTTATAAAACGATTCTCGAGTTCTATAAAACGATTTCTCGAGTTTTACAAAACGATCTTCGAGTTTTATAAAACGATCTTCGAGTTTTATAAAATGATTCTCGAGTTTTATAAAACGATTTCTCTAGTTTTATAAAACGATTTCTCGAGTTTTATAAAACGACCTTCGAGTTTTATAAAATGATCTTCGAGTTTTATAAAACGATCTTCGAGTTTTATAAAACGATCTTCGAGTTTTATAAAACAA